TATAAATTGTTTTCTTACAATGTTTTAATATTGATTACAGATGTTATTGGTTCGCTTTTGTCGATAGGTTCATTGGCTCACCTAGCGGGTGGAACCAAACAGAACATTCCATTTGAACTTGAAGATATTGAGAAATTTAAAACTCACTGAAATATATTTTTTAGATTTTAAATGTGTTACATGTGTTTTTCATATCCATCGTCGTTTTCTTTAACATGCAAGTGATTGTTTGCTGGGGGAAAAGTTTGTTGACTACATACTTCAACGAATTCAGGATATTATTGTAGGGCCGTATATTGTTGTAATACAATTTGCAATGACTGAGATTAAGAATGGTATTAATTTGTTCAATATTTCTCTTATGTATTTGGTTCAATGAATGTGAAGGACATGTATTATATTTCATGACTATTCTTATGTTTTCTTAGGTGAAGTCCAGGTATCCAACCATTGGCATTCATCGCGTGTGCTTATAAATGAGGATATTCCTGCAATTAATGAATTCAAACCGAGATTATAATTTTATCTTTAAATAAATTAATTAATTTTTTTTTACATTTATTTCTTTCATTACGATTTATTAGCATGTAGTTTTTATTTTAGTTTCATTCGGGAGTAAACCAAATAGTGGAGATGTCGTCGCAGTCTTCTTACTCGATGGAAGATGATTTCATACGTAAGACTGTTAGAAAAAAATGGACGAATTAAGTGACACAAATGAGGTAATAACAATGTATTTGCTACATTATTTATTCGTACATTTTCAATAAAATACAAATAGGAACGATTTATCAAATCTAATTATAACTATATTTAACTCTCTTCATCACCATCACATGCAATCCTCAATGACCTGAAATACAAAGGGTGTTGAAAGATACAAATCTCAGGCCGGGGATCGGCCAAACATTCTATGTTGTGTGTTCAAGATGAAGCTCGATAGTATAATGACATAAATTAAGAAAGAGCGTATATTCGGACGTATTAGAGCACGTAAGTATTTAATTAGATCTGTACAATTGGGTATTATTGAGTAAATACAGATCTAACATTAATATAGAGCTATGCAACCAAAACATATCAATCAAATACCTGTTCAAATACGTCAACAAGGGTCATGATCGAGTTACGACGGCATTTTACGAAAGACGCAATATTGATGGCAGTGTTGAGATTCTTGACGAGATAAAGATGTACTACGACTGCAGATATCTTTCGGTATGTGAGGCAATGTGGAGGTTGTTTAATTTTGATATTCATTACAGAGACCCATCTGTAATTAGGCTAAGCTTTTATCTCCCAGACAATATTGGAACCAGACCAGACCGGCCGGTCGGACCGGTTCGACCGCGACCCAGCAATAAAACGGTCCGAGCTGATGTGTAAAACCGGGGAAGATGAAAACTGGGGTCTAATGCCGGAAACACGGTTCGACCGGGTAAAACCCGGGAACCGGCGAATCGGCCAAGAAACTCGGTTTTCAGTCAAAATGGCACAAATCACCGTGGGATTGGTTATGTGTGGCTGGATCTGCGCAGATTTTGGTGGAGTTGGTTGGGGTTGGCCGGATCTGGTGGTGGTGGTCGAGTAGGGATGGGGGGTTGCCGCATTTGGGGAAGAAATTGTGAGATAATGAAAGGAGGAAACAAAATCTTACACAAAAATGAAGAATATGGAGATAGATGCATGATTTGTAAAGAAGAATAGAGAAATAAAATTAAAAAAAAAAAAAAAAAAAAACGAAATCGTGAAGGAGATGGTGCTGTGGAAGTGCATGAGAGAATTGAAAAGTGGGGAAAATGGGGTCATGAGGATGAAGAGGCACGTGTGTGAGGGTGTGATGAGAGAGGAGAGTGAAAGAGTGAGGAGAGAGGAGAGAGAAAGAGTAAAAACATGAAGTGAAAAATAAAAAAATAAATATTATTAAAAATTGGGTAAGGTGGATAAATATAAGAAGTAGTTGGAAGATTAAAAAGTATAAAGAAAATATTATTTAAAATAAAACATAATAAACAAAAATCAAAAATCAAAAACCCGGTTGAACCGGTTCGACCCTATCGAACCGTGACCCAAATGGTCATCCGGTTTTATGACCGGTTCGGTTCTGATAACATTGCTCTCAGATCATCAGGCGCTTGTCTTCAATGAAAACAAGTCATTACAAAGTGTTCTGGATAGGCCATCTGCCAAGCAAACGATGTTCTTACCATGGTTAGAGGCAAACAAGAGTTATCCAAATGCCATGGACTTGAGGTACGGAGATTTTCCACAGCAGTTTGTGTATAAGAAGGATTCTTGCACTTGGGCGCCAAGAAAAAAAAGATTTTCTATTGGTAGGATTGAAAATGTTCCCCCTGAAAAGGGGGAAGACTATTACCTTAGGTTGCTACTTAACACTCAAAGGGTTGCACGTGTTACGAGGACATCAGAAAAGTTGCTAACTACGTCAACCCTACGTTCAGGGATGCGTGTTATGTGTTGGGTTTGTTAGACGACGACAAAAGATGCGATAAGAGAAGTGAATGCTTGGGCATCTGGGGATTATATAAGGAGGTTATTTGCGGTTATGTTGTTTTCCAATAGCTTACGCCGGTCCGAACATGTTTGGCAAAGTTGTTGGTTGGATTTGGCGGAGGGTTTTGCTTACAAACAACAACGGTTCATAGTAATCCAGGTATGACAATTTGTATAGAATATTATTCAATTAGATTATAAATATTACTCATTTTTTTAATAGTCTCTTTAAGTTTTGAACTAAATCATATAATGTATCAAATTTTTATGCAGATTTATCTATATCGGATGAAAGCTTGATGAACTATACTCTCACTAAAATAGAGAAAATATTGCAAAGTAATGGTAAAAGTCTACGTAATTACGCGCCCTGGCCATTTTCAATCGAATTCGCGGTGGAGGCCACAATAAACATATTGGTCTTAGATGAACTGGATTACGACGGTTTGAAATGGGTAAAGAACTTCAACGGTGTCTTGCCCCAATTACAGACGAGCAAACAAAGGTTTATGATATATTCATGGATGTTGTATATATCCAATGACCATGGTGGAATTTTCTTTCTATATGGTCATGGTGGAACGGGAAAGACATTTCTCTGGTAAACTCTTTCGGCTTCAGTCCGTTCCAAGAGAGAGATTGTAATTAATGTTGCATCGAGTGGTATGGCATCGCTATTGTTCATCGGTGGAAGAACAGCTCATTCTCGATTTGGAATTCCCATAAATGTACACGAGACTTCCACCTGTAGCATAACGCAACAAAGTCCATAGGTGGAGTTGATGATTAGGGCTAAGCTTATTAGGTGTAACGAAGCTCCTATGATGTATATGAACTGTTTTGAAGCGCTTGACAAGACAATGAAGGCAATATTACAGGTAAACAAACCGTTTGGAGGTAAGGTGGTTGTTCTTGGAGAGGCATATTTTACCAGTTGTACTCAAAGCATCAAGGCAGGACATAGTACATGCTACGGTAGAACCCTCTCTGTTGTGGCATTTCTGTCGTGTCATGAAGTTGAGTAAGAACATGAGATTGCAGTCATGTTCTTCTCCATCTAATGTGGACGAGGTAATAGAATTTGGGGACTGGACACTGAAGGTTGGTAATGGGGATGTTATGGAATAAAATAATGGTGAAGCTTCGCTAGAGATTCCTGAGGACATGTTGATTGGTGATTCAGAAGATCTATTCAGAGACCTACTGAACTTCGTCTATCCTGATTTGTTGAGTAACATGTATGATCCAGATTATTTTCATGCAGGGCAATTCTTGCACCAACTAATGAATGCGTCGAGTCTGTGAATGATCACTTAATGTCTCTCCTTCCAGGTGAGGAGAAGGTGTACATGAGCTCAGATAGTATGTGTAGGGACGAGCAAACAACGGAGGATAATGCAAAAATATATTCGACTGAATTTCTCAACACAATAAAATGCTCGGGGGTTCTTTCTCATGTATTGAAGTCTAAAGTCAGTGCACCAGTTATGCTAATAAGATACATCGATCAAGCAGAGGATTGTGAAACGGGACCAGACTTCAAATTATTCTAATCGGCATTCACATTCTGCATTGTAAACTTCTTTCCGGTAAAAATATCGGTGACATTGTGTTCATTCCTCGGATGACTTTAATACTATCTAACTCCGGACTGTCCATTAAATTTCAGAGAACACAGTTTCCGTTGATTGTTTCTTTTGCAATGACGATCAACAAAAGCCAAGGCCAAACTCTTTCGCATGTTGGTTTGTATCTTCCTCGGCCTATCTTCAGTGGTTAACTATATGTTGCACTGTCCAGAGTTAAGAGCAGAGGTGGCATTAAGATATTCATCAAGTGGGATTCAGGCGAACTCACCGATGTTACTAGAAATGTCGTAATTTTCATATTTATGAGTTCTTCATATAACATGTCTTGGTTTTTATTTTTTTTAACACCTTACTCTTTAGCAGGTCTATCTTTCCTGTATGTTTTCCCCCATGCGATTTTATTTTCAGTCATGTCCCTAGAATGCTCATTGCAAATCTTATTATCTTTAAGATTTATGTTTGTCGATATACTAATATTTAATATTATTCTTATATTGTAACTATGAAGAACATGATACTTATAACATATTTTTTATATTGTTGTTCGATGACGTTTTGTACTTAAATTGATGAGCGTAATAATTGATACATGCGTTAATTTGTTTTACATACATGTATTTTTCAGTTGAAAATATGCCGCCCCGTGCATCGCACGGGTGAATACTAGTTATTCGATATATCAATGAACATTATGTATCATATAATTTGAAATATAGTACATCTTTTGTGGTGATAAAATGAAAAACAAGACGATTTTGTTTTCTTCGAAATCGAAGTTATGGTAACTTTTTCTTTTTGAAGCTTTTTTTAAAATTGTACTAGTTAATTTAATAATGGTGGTTAAAAATTAAAATAAGTATTTGGTCCTATAACTATTGGTCTAAAAAAAATGAATTCTATCTATTCTTATCCCTTGCTTCGGACAGCAGTTAACCACTTTGCCCCCAAAATATCGTATTCTTTAAGATAGGAAAACAATATAAAACAACAAATACACAATGGAGAAGAAAAAATCCCCAATTCCAACGGTGAATTGAGTGAGAAATATTAGGAAAATAGAAAGAAAAAAGAAAAAGAAAAAAAAAAAAAAAAAAGATTGGCACTTTCCTTCTCTCTCTCTCTCTCTCCCCCTTTGTACTTCCCCCAACTTCTATCTAACCTGAACTCGTTGATTCTATAATGAAAATTCGTCCAAAAGTATTGAATGAATGAATTCCGTTGTAATTTAATTTGAGCGATCAGTTGTTGATTTAGATCGTGACAAGTTAGATTTTTTTTTTTGAAAATTGGTGGCTCGTATTAAATTAATTATGGGATTGGGAGATGCGGATCTTCCCGACGACGGCGGCGGCGGCGGAGGAGGAGGATTCAAAGCGATGCCGGCGGTGGTGTCGTGCTCCATTTGCTTGGAGGCGGTGACTGACGGCGGCGATAGATCTTGGGCTAAGCTCCAGTGCGGCCATCAATTCCACCTCGGTTAGTGATTAATTTGAAATTGATGCCACGAAAATATCGCAATCTAACTGATTTCATTTGCCCTAATTCTATTGGAACTCGTCAATTTGATCTCGGGGTGTGGGAGGGCTTGTATTCATCTGTGTTTGTTTGTCAGATCGGTACGTTTGGTTGACTTTTACGCCCTCAATTAGTGAGTTCAATCCATCTGGGTTCAGGATCTGGGATTCGAGTGCGGTGGGGAACATCGAATTAGTCGAAAATATAAATGGGATTTTGACTTGGGACTGCCCACATTTTAGTTTTCTTAATTTTGTCGAACTGGGTCGGTAATTCTTATGCCGAAATACTCTATGCATGCAGTGACCCTTTTTATACCTTTTCGGAGATTTAGTCGAATGTTGGATATTTGGATACAATTAAATCATGTGCAGCCGTGATCTAGTCGAATGTTAAGATTCGAGTTCGACACTTATAGTTGCATAAGTTTCAAAAGACCAGACAGACAACAGCCGTGATTTAGTCGAATGTTAAGATTTTGAACCGTGTTAGTTACAATGATAAGGTTTGCATCGATTTCCTATAAGCGATTTGTACGTTATGCTAATGCTATCTATACGGCAGTATTTTTATATGTGGGATCAATCTATATCATTTCATCAACATGCTTCAAAAAAAGCTAGGAGCTTAAATGTTTTCTGTTGTTCTTAATTAATATTATGGAAGAAGGGAGGTTCCTACTGTACAAGTCTATGCTGGATTTTACGAGGCTTGTGTATTTGATTGAGACACCTTTGATTAATTGGGTAACTGCCCAAGTTGCTAGGCATTTGTTTTGACAGAAAATAAGTACAGTAGCCTAAAACATTGTTGATTTTTCTCTAAGACATGCTTAAACGTAACCAAATTACTCTCGTCTGTTCTTGTCTTAGAATAGTTTTTAACAATTATACAGATACTTATGCTTAAATTCCTCGCTGCTTTGTTTCGAAATCTTTCTCTAGCACGAGGTCTTTAAGTTCTTACTGCTTGTTCATTTTTTTATTTGCTATGTCACAAAATCCTTTATTTTTCTCATATTATTATGTACTTGCGACGATGAATACAGATTGCATAGGTTCAGCATTCAATGTTAAGGGGGCAATGCAGTGTCCCAACTGTCGTAAAATTGAGAAAGGGCAATGGCTATATGCTAATGGTAGTCGTCCATTACCTGAGTTTAGCATGGATGATTGGGCCCACGATGAGGATTTATATGATCTAAGTTATTCTGAAATGGTAGTATCTCTCTAAATCGAATCTATTATTTTGTTATGGTTTTATTTGCATTCTGATGTCGGGAAATGAAATGCTGCATGTACTTTTGTTTTCATAATCATTGCTTTTTGGTCAATTATACGTAGATTCTTGGATCATAGATTCTCTTTGTTGTGGATATCTTCGATCTGAATTACTTGGTCTGTAAAGAGAGAACATTTGTCAGTTATTGTTATATGGTTGCCTCGTTTTTGGTACTGTACACATTAGGAGGTGCTTATGTATATCTTAAGGATTCAATCTCTCTGTATGGTTATTACAATGTACCCTGTCAGATAAATTTCACTTCCGTTTCTGCAAGTTTCTTGAGTTTATTCAGCCTGTAAGATTATTCCAAAACTTGCTATTTGTATACATTGATTCTGAAAAAACTCCATTTAAATATGACTAGTAGAAACTGTTAGCCAGTTCATGTAATCTCGTCTAACTGAGTGTACATATACATAAGCTGCAAATCTATTACTTATCGGATTTTACTAATTAATTTCCCGTAAATGGATTTTGCAGTCATTTGGAGTCCATTGGTGTCCATTCAGTGGATTAACAAGGGGTCATTCATCTTTTGAGTAAGCACCACCCTATCTTTATTATTATACTTAGGGTAATTTACGGCCACCCCTGAGGTAAGGTAAGTACGAAAAAAAACCCTCATGTTTGGGTTATTACAATAATCCCTAAACTATAAATCTTCTTACATGTCCACCCTTGCGGTGTCAAATTTAGTGGATTCTTCTAGATTATGTTGAATGTTCTCTAGTTTTGTACCCGTTTTAACCCATCCGATCTCCACATTTTGAAATAAGATGATCATTAGACGTATCTCTTGACTTGTTAATATCAGATTGTGGTGCATCCGTGGTGCATCAAAAACTGCATTTTTGCAGAAAACCAGAACAAACTAGAGAACGTTCCACGGAATCGAGAAGATTTTGATGAATTTGACACCACAAGGGTGGACGTGTAAGAAGATTCATAGTTGAAGGGTGGTTGTAATTACCCAAACAAGAGGGGTTTTTCGTAATTTGACTTTACCTCAGGGATGACCGTAATTTACCGTTATATTTAATATGCGAAGTATTCATGTCCAAATGGTGGTTGCTTGAGTTTCTTTTTCTACATTTGAATATTTAGTTTTTTTGTAACTGGCTGGGTGTTTACAAGTCCTAGTTTTACATTTGGGAGAAGAAAGCTCGGGTAATTAAGGAAGGACAAGTTCAAAGTATCACAGATTTATTTTCTTATATTCTTTATTTATTCATTTTATCACAACCTGCTGGACTAGACGTCCTTAGTTAAGACCTTATCTTCTTCTTACGGTATTAAAGTGAGCTAAACAAAATGATTATGGCATGCAATGGTGACTGTTTTCACCTGGTTTTTGCCGTGTGTGATGTTTCATTTATAGCCTTAATAGTAGAGGCTTCTTAGTATGAATATGTGGGCTGGAGATGTGGTAAACATTAATACTCTGTAACTTAAGTGTGTACTGTTCTTTAATCCTTCGTTTATTATATTAATATCTAACATGATATTCAGTCTTTTTCTTGGTTTAATTTTACCTGAAATTTTCCCAATTGTAATACTTTCCCTTTCTTTGTTCCCAATTTTCTGAACGTCTTCATTCTTTTTGCAGCGATGGAGAGTTTTCATCAAGTGGATGTAAGATTTTCGCAATTACTTTTAAAAATTTGAAAAAGACCAATCTTTTGTAATAATCATAATTGTTTTATCTGTTTGTTAGATCACGACCTCGTTGGACACCACGCCGTATTTACCGAACACACCCCTGTTTCATCGACAGCTCATCCTTGCCCATACGTTGCTTATCTGGGTCCAATTCATCCATCTTCATCCACATCAAACGGCGGCACTATTTCAGATGGGTCGAGTTTTAGTAACCACTGGAGCGGCGGCGGAGGCCCGTCAGTTCAGAGCGACGTGCCGAATGCATACGCTTTCCCACCAATGGATGTACATTATCATAATTGGGACCATTCGTCTTCTCCTTTCGCTACAACTAACCGAATCGGTGTTTCAGAACCACCCTTGCTTCCATCTATCACTCAACGAACAGCCAGAAACACCTCCGATATGCAGAGAAGTGGAGTGCACCCCTTCATTCTTGGTCATAGGTTAGTACTATATATATATATATATGTTTATATTGCTTAAATTTATATTTTTCTGAAGTAAAATCATATCGACATCTGTTTTAGGGTTTTATAGTACAACATTTTTCTTGCATATCACTAGGGTTGTGATGTATAATTATTAATATCAAGGTAGGCAATATCGGGATTTTAAGTTGAATTGGAGAGGGGTAGTAAAATCGGAAACGTAAAATCGGATCGTAAAATCGTAAGTTTTACATATTTTGTAAAATTAATAGCAAACCATTGTATATATATTTTTTAATATTTAGAAAACTTCTCCTAACGCAATTTAAACAAGTCATAGCGTCCTAACATAAAAAAAAATATCCCAACATTAACAAAACATGTTTTAACATTAATTAAACATAGAGTCTAACATAAATTAAACATAATTAAACACTAAAGAACTAGGTATTGGATGTTCTCTGTGTAGGAGGTAGTTTCTAGGGCAAATTAGGGCATATTGGGGTTATGGGCTTCTTAAATTTTAGCTTAAAAATCAAAGACGGAGGCCCAAACTTGAAATTTCATTCCGTATTTTGACTCAAATTGAAATCGTAAAAATCGCAAAAAAATCGCGATTTTGCCGATTTTACTCCCGATTTCAACCGATTTTAAAGAACATTCGATTTTACAACTTGTAAGGGTGTTAAATCACAAAATCTTTCGATTTGTACGATTTAAATCCCTATTTTAATTACCTTGATTAATATAACTTTTAGGATTAAGTATACTATACATAATATTACAAATCAGCAGCAATTAAATAATTTCTCACAATTAAAATAGTAATTAACTAAATTTATGCATCAAGTCTTCTTAGTCATTTATTTCAGCCCTTTACATTTGTTTTGTGACATCTATTTAAGTGATAAGTTACTTAGACAGACCTTCGACTATAGACAATTTACAGAAACTACCCTTTTCTTTTACATAATTGTACCACCACCCCTGTAGGTGAGTGATATTTCCTCCGACTTTCTTATAGCGGAGAAAAAAGCTGACAATTGTAATAGAAGGCCAACGTTGCCAGCTTTATCCTTCGCAACTCGGGCTTTAGTTTTGACCAGTTTTTTTTCTAACTAGTATTACCCTTGTGCCATGTGCGAGGCATGTGATTCTGAACCCAGATTTTAGTGTCGAACACCTAACTGGGTGCTAATGTCTTGTAAGTCCTTTTCCACTTCTACTTTTCGTCGTTACATTTTTCATTTCCTTTTGTTTTTTATTGTTTTCTTTTTTCTGTTAGGCTTTAGTTTTTAGCTATCATTGTTTAACTAGAATATAATTAAACACGTGATTAAAAACAAAATATTCAATAAATAATTATTTTTACTAACCCAAAAAAAATCTTATAATTAATTCTTTCCTTTAATTTTATGACAAAAATTTAATATTTTATTTTGGCTAATCAAATAACGAATTAAGAACCCCATATATTTAGAACCTAAAAAATACAAATAGGTTCGGCAATTTTGTATTTTATAATCTTTTTCACGTAAAAGTCACGCTGATTTTGAAGTACGTATGCTATATAATATCACTAAAAGAGTTGATGCACGTTTCATTATTTCGATTTATAGAGTTAACATGTAATTTTTTGGCATATGTTGTTAAAAACAGTTCTGGTAGTCGAGGCCCCAGCTCAGTGACGTCATCAGTGCTTCCACCGTACCCTGGTACTGTTTCTCGTCCGCCGCGTGACCGCTCCTCTCTGCAAGCCTACTTTCACCAATCAAATAGTAGCAGCGCCCCGTCAGCATTAGCACGCACCCCCGTTAATGTTATTACCACAGGACGAAGATCCAATAATAATAATAATAATAATAACAATAATAATAATAACAATAATAATAATAATAATAGGGCTTTATTACCTCAAGTTGCCGTCCCTCCATCTGCAGCAGATCATTCGAGTGGTTTTTACTTCTTCTCGTCAAATTCATCCGCCACTCGACCTTTCCAAGATTCTGAGAATCCCCACCGTGATTTTTTTCATGGTTGGGGAGAAAGGGAACAGCACCACCAGCAGACTTCTTTTCCGTCGAGCCAGTTTGATAGGGATTCAATATGGGGCCCACCGGCTGCAGGATCTGAAACTAATGGAGGGTTCCGATCGAGCAGCAGTTTTCGCCATAGGCATGGATCTGAGAGGATGCCTCCCCCTTCTCAAAATCGGTCATAGTTTGGTTTTGTGTTATTTATTGTTCCTTTTGTGATCTAAACTGTGACTGAAGAAAACCCGAAACTATATATAAATATGTTTTAAGCGACGATCTGTAATTGTGTGGCACTGAATTTATCGTTTTTTATCATTAGCCACGGGCTTGTGTGATGGACTTTTGGCTTCCTTTTGTTTCTGTGCCCTTTGTAGGGGGGAATAATTCACATGTTTAAAGTTAAATGGTTTTAAGTTTCATTTTAATGTAACCCTTTTGATTGTGTCTTGTTGCTATATCTGATAGATCCACATAGATTCATGATAAAACCTTGATTGTGGATAGTAGGAACAAGAGATGAGATTCTCGAATTTGAGATGATGATCGTCGAGAATATGGGAGATGAGCTTCGTAATCGAGAGGGAAACAAATGACTTGGGTCGACTATGCAATGTGGTTATGATTTCACGGCTCCTTCGACCCTACACCCGGTGATAAACACCGGGTGGGTCTTCAGATGCTATGTGTCTTTCCCAAAAAAAAAAAATCACAAATCGCAAGCAATTCCGCGTTATAATCTACAAAATGCAGTGCATACATTCGTGTACAAATGCATGAAATATATGTGTTTATTAGAGCACGTGTGACGAAATTGGGGGTTTCATGATTTCTTTAGTTTCGTGATGAAGAACATGAAATATTAGCTTAAATTTCGTCATCGTATACACGAAATGGAAGCTCAAGTTTCATATAATAATGTACGAAACCACTAATTTTTATTTTATTTTTATTTAACCAACTTATTTGTTAACATTCAAATAAATACAATAACTTCAAATACAAATACAAATTACAATAAAAGAACATTTTGTAAACTATTTACCAGACTTTAATGGTTCGTACACGACTAGCGAGGTTTGAACATCTTGAGTAAGTACGTCACGTTTTTAACTCTATGGTGTACCCATGCTGGATGGATAGGTGGAAGATGACTATTCGCGACCAAATCAACAAGCATGAAATGATTGTTGTGCAATGCCACAACAATCATACATGATAAGTGGCCGCTGTCAAACATAGGAACGTAAGTCATACTCGCACTTGGGTTAAAAGTACCACCAATGCATTGTATTTGGTAGCAATGCCCAATCTCATTTCATTCATGTCCATCCAATAAGCTTATGGACAAGGACCTGAGGGCCAGTCGCACTTGCATATCACCTCAACGTATTCAGTACTGCCAAACATCGACGTATAAACATTAGCATGCTCGTATAACTCAATAAGCAACTTCGCTCTCACTTGAGGCCATCTTTCTTGATCCCGTAGAGCAACCCACTGGTACCCATAGTTTCCATCCGCCATCACGTTGACATAATCTTGAATAAGACGTACCAATGTACAATAAATTTCGGCACGAAATAATAGAAGTCGATTCCTTCATGGGCAGGTATTGGAGGGGCAACATGTTTTTGTATGGAAATACAAGAACCACGACCTTTCATCTTCGATTTAGGCTCAATCAGTGGTTCTATCAATCTTTGCTTTAGTAATCTTTGTTGTAGGGGAGGATTGGCGATCCTTAAAACCACAAGACGACTTAATTGTCTCCGAATCAATATGTTACTACCATCCGGAAGGGTCTCTCTTTGTCGAGTTATTCTTTGGCCGTCCTTTGGTCTTAACAAATGATGGCTCGGACAGATGAGTCGTAGACGGATAAACGATGCCACGCAATGAGGCTACGGCATTTATCTTGCTCATTTAATTCATATTCTTCAAATCGTAATTCATGTAATCAATCTGTCTATGCACAATCGCCTCGCGGTTTATTTGATATTCAGGTAGCTCCGAAGGTTCAACTGCCATGGTACTCCAGAATGGATGCAGGTCTGAAATGACGAACATATCATTATCTTGCATATTATGTACAATTTTGCACACGCAAGGGAGAGTATGATTATTCCAAAGATAGTAGATGCAAATACTTGGATCTTGCATCGCCGGAAATTCCATCTCTTGATCCAATTTCTCCAATGCTAGATGCATAACGTAACAAATCAAACTATGAAAACACGTCCAAGCTGCAGTATGCTTCATTATCTTGGATGATAATGGAAAATCGCACTTCAACTGACTAATTTGGATATGAACTTGGTCCCGAAGTTTATCTTGCACGGTATCAACACCTCTGATCGAAGCATTTAACCAACCCTTTGCAGAAGAATGCGCACTCTCCACCCTTTGTGATTACAACGACAATCAAATTATAATATATTTTATCATTGAAATAACTAAAACACGGAATACATGTTGGTGCTCGTGTTGCCAAAATGATACACATGCGGGTATAGGTTCGGACAAACTTCTCCTTGTAGATCAACCACATATTATTCAAATACTGTATCAGTACAGTTTAGGGTTTCCTGTATACCGTCCATCAATTTCATTGTAATTGTACTGATACTCTTCTCCAGTTTCTGATTTCACCATCTTAGCCCCACTCCACGTCGGAATATAAGATCTTGGTCTTTGTTGCCTCCCTTAAATTTCATCGCATTTGCCTCAACATTTCTCTTTATATGGAATATACACAACATATGATACGAAACTGGAAAGACATTTGGTAGTGCTTTCAAGAGACCCAACTCCCGATCTGTCAGGATCGCATCAGATTCGACACCATCTAACAATTCTCTCAAACAATTCAAAGTCCACTCGTTGGTGTCTGCATCTTCGCGACATAAATGCAACAACAATCGTGAAGTTATTCCCAACTGGAGTAATCCCAATTATTTCCAAAAGAGGCATTCCATACATACGTTAAACAATTTTACATATTTAAACAATACATTATAAAACTACAATTAAAATTTAAACAATCGTAAAAGCTGATTTACTTATTGGTTTTGTATATGCAGTCCATCAATATAACGTACGGGAACAACCGTAGTAGCTTAATCGATTCGGGACATGCATAGCATCCGTTATTGTGTTGCTCGTTTTACTATCGACGTGATGCCAATATCATTATCTGCCTTGTTGAATATTATGCATCATAAACTAATAACAATCATTTCCGCCTTGTTGAAAATTGTGTATCGGAAAATACGGTTGAAATATTCAAAGATGAGATGTTCCATTTCCTCATCAGTTTGTTTTCAATTTCCAGCATCATCTCTAAGTTTGTTAACTCTGTTTATTCGGTTTCGAACAGTAGCCTTAGCATGAAAAAACATTGTATTCCTATCACTCTCTTGCATCCACTGTTGTTGGGAGTCTTATGTATGCTCAAGTTTGCACACGTCCGGACATAGCATTCGTTGTAGGAATGCTAGGAATATATCTAAGTAATCCTGGGATGGATCATTGGACAGCAGCAAAAAGGGTTCTTAGGTACTTACAGAGAACTAAGGATTATATGCTCACATATAAAAGCTCAAATCAGTTGGAGATCATTGGGTATTCTGATTCTGACTTTGTTGGATGCCAAGATAGTAGACGATCCACTTCGGGCTACATTTACCTATTGGCTGGGGAGCTATATCTTGGAAGAGTGCCAAGCAGACACTCGTGGCTTCCTCCACTATGGCAGCGGAATTTGTAGCGTGTCATGAGGCATTAAATCATGGATTATGGCTGCGAAACTTTGTCACGGGGCTGCGTGTTGTGAATGGTATTAAAAGACCATTAAAGATATATTGTGACAATAACCCAGCGGTTCTATATTCTAATAACAATAGGAGCTCTTCTAAGTAAAGCATATTGACATAAAATTTCTCGTTGTGAAAGAAAGAGTACAAAGTGGTTAAATTTCTATAGAGCACATTGGAACAAACTCCATGGTTGCGGATCCTCTTACTAAGGGAGTAGCACCAAAAGTCTTTCATGGGCATACTGCTCGTATGGGTGTTATACCACTTAAGGATATCATGATTTAGTGGGAGCTTGTATTTTTATACATTTTTTGTGCTTTAGTTACTTTTGGATAATACTTTCGTATTTGAACATTTTCTGCAGAAATAAAGTATTCAGTTTATTACACTTTGTATATTTAAGTTAAAGTTGATCTCAATTAAGTTTAAGTTGGGACCAGTTGAAAATAGGCATGTTACGATCACATTATATGTAATTTTCATGCTACACACCATAACTTGATCTATGTCATTTGATTATATGGGTATGTGTGACTACTGTTGGGTTTAGCCACGCTCAATGTGGCGAAAGCTTCTTTAATCCCATATCAGTATGGTCAATGGACGAGATTGTTAAAGAATACCCTATTATATGATAGCAATATTTTGACGTCATAAGGTGTACACATTTATAAAGAAGTTAAAATATGTGGCCCAAGTGAGAGATTGTTAGAATTATTTCAATAATTATATGGGCTCACATATGTAATTAAATATGTATGGCTATCTATCAGATAATCTAATTAAAAGTGATTAATTAAAGTTATTTGTGTTAGATTAATGGGTATTGGACTAATGTTGTGGGCCCAATGTGTAGAGACAAATAAAGTACAATTAGGTTTTATTGATGGGGTTGAACCCTAATTGTAATCCTATATAAAGGGTCGTGGTCCCCAAAAAAAACACATCATTCCTTCTCTACTGCTAATCCATCGACTAGAAGAAAAAACAAGAGGAACTGTGTATTCTTTGGAAGACTGACTCTCTTTCGATTTTAAAGGTTCTATGGATTCAGGTACGCTTCCGCTTGTTCGTTCTTGTTCTTTTCGATTGATGCTTGATGGTCTTGGAATTTGTTCGAGTATATGCGAATTAATTCTAAGACTTGTTCTATTGGATAAGTGTCAAAACTCTTTACACCTTGTTTTACTGACAAAATGAAAAATAACTGAACGAATTATTTTGATACGTTTGAAACCTTTATTTCGACTTTTTGGGAAATTTTTTAGAAAATGAAATATTTATATTTTGGTAGGAGACAAAAGATACTTTAGCAGTCAAATCATATATATTGAAAGAATATTAGAAGAGTAATTTGAAATGTAATGCAATATTTGTTTAGTTAAATATATATATATATATATATATATATATATATATATATATATATATATATATATATATATATATATATATATATATATATATCCCGTTCCTTAGAATTCGGAGGCCCTAGGTGAGATTTAAAGAACAATTGAAAATGGGAGCCCCTATTTGACAAACCATTTTTTAAGGGTAAAATACACTTTACCCCCTTGTACTATACCCTATATAACACTTACCCCTCCCTATATAACACTTATCCCTCGTACTATGAAAAATACACTTACCCTCTGAACTTAACGGTTAACCTATTTTATTACTAACGGTGTTAGTAGAATTCTTTTTTATAATGTTATCATCAAATTCGATATGTTTTATTAATAATTCCTACAAAATGACATATTATTATTATTAAAAAAAATTGTGCAGCGAGGATACATATAGTAAATAAATATTTAGCATGTATAATTTTTTCAAATATTGGATTAGCATATTTACTCACTAGATATTTATATTAAAACTTGTAATTTTGCATCAATATTGTTTTAACCGTATATAGTAATGTTTTATTGTATTTAATGTTCTATTGCATTAAATTTCATTTAACTTGGCCTCTTCATTTAGGATAAACTGTACGAAATTTGATGTTACAAATAAATAATTAGATTTTAATGTATATGTTTGATGAATTAAATAATTTCATCCAATATACGAAGGAATGTATACTATCTAAATATTATTTTTTTAATTTAAATATTTAACGTGTAAATAATTTTCAATCCAAGATTTAAAAAAACATACTATCTTAAATATTATTTATTTGATTTATTCATAGTACATGTATTATTTTAAAAATAAAAATAAGGTGTCATTTATTAAAAAATAATAAAAATATATTAAAGATTTTACTACTAACACCGTTAAGAACTAAATATGTTGCCCATTAAATAGAGAAGGTAAGTGTTACATAGGGTATAGTCCAAGGGGGTAAAGTATTTTACCTATTTTTTTAATAAGGGTGCTCGAAATTGAATATACCAAAACTATATATATATATTCTTTTTTCTTTTCTTATTTTAATTGTTTTATTTTAGCAGTCTAATCATATTTAATGTAGAGAGAAACTTTTGGGATTGTAATATAATATTTCCTCAGGTCCATGCAGATTTTCAACAGTTTATATATTCTGATGAGAGAGAGAGAGAGAGAGAGAGAGAGCATACTGAGAACGTTAAAATGTGAGAAAACCTTAATATTATTACAGCGGGTAGAGCACAACTCTTCTTCTTTTTAGTACAGACTCTCAGCACGCAGTTTTCGAAACAAAACTCGTTAGAAGAAAAACACTCTACATAAGCAACAACATATATTTACAGATCCTATATATAGCTGCAGCTACCAAACTCTTTGCATCTGATACATACATACGATACTCTGTTGAAGTAGAAAATGCGAAGCTGCCTGCATATGCGTGCGTTCATGAGATCTCACATGTCGTAAGGAGGAGGAGGGCTCCTGGGTCCCACTCCATTTGCTCTCTCGTACGCAAATGACGCCGACCTCCGACGAAACCTGAATGCTTCTCTTCCTCCACCTATATACCATTATTGTATATATAGTTTAACCAGTTTCCACATTAGTTAACCATATTTATATGCATGTTACTAATTAAATAAATTCCAATAGTGTCGAAATGCGGTTTATTCTATGTTAGACTGGGCGAAATACACCGAGTAAATCGTTACTATTCATACACACACATACCCACAGTAGTGTGTGTAGATCAACAGATAAAAACACCTGGTGTAATCTTCACCGGATGTAGCATATAAATAACAGTCGAAATGCAATATTTAGATCAAAATATTTATTGATTGCTATAAATAAGCATGTTCCACATTTCTAACTAAGAACCTCATAATCTAAAAGATCGATGTTTTGGGAAAATAATATAAATGATACATACATACATACATACATACATATATATATATGCGCGGGGTTGCAAGTCAAACAGCTTAAATAATTATTCATTATTGCCCTACCAATAATTAATTATTCCACTTCCACAGATGTCATTCTCTAATTAAATAGAGACCCTACCAATCAGTAGTGCTCCTGAATATCCCGTTGAAAATTCAACCGCATTCGAGTATTATGACCAAACTACCCTCCAAATCTCACTCTAAGTTACGAAATGACTAAATTGCCCTCTCCCAGATCCCAAAGATTCTTCTAGACGCCCTAATATGGAATGGATCTTTTAACACACAATAGAATTGGGATTTTGTTTATCAAACCTTACCGGCGAAGGGGGACGCCGGAGGAGTGGATCCGGCGGGAGAATCCGGCGGAGAGTCCTTCAGATTCAGCTGCGGCGGCGGCTTTACGATCATAATGCTTCTCGTCACTCTCACTGCATCCTCCGCCGCCGCCTCTTCTCCAAACGATCTTCGATTATCCACAGCTTCCGTTTCTGCACAATCATACCACGAAAATACATTCAATCTTTTTTATAATGATTTCTGACGTATGTAATAATAGAGCTAATTGATTATCACAATTTCAAACAAACAATTTTCTTTTTGATAATGAAATCCGCCCAATTAATTATAAAAAGCTTAATTAAAATTGTATGATTAAACACCGGCGGCGGCGGCGGCGGGGGTACGTACCCTTGCCGGAGTTGGATCGGAAGCTAAAAGTGCCGTATTTTCTGAGTTTACCGAGGCCGGTGTCCGGCGGGGGTCCGGCGAGGGTATCGTCCCAGAGCTGGTCAAGTAACCCCATAGTTTAGGCTCAATTTAGCAACTACGTCTCACGCTCGGCTATTGTGTGCTTCACTCTTGATTACTGAGTTTTAGTGACAAATCGAAAATGTGTGAAGTGAAGATATTTATGGACGGGATTGGGCGTTAAGGTTCGAGCATCTTTGTGGATTGAGATAGAGCGGAAACCGTCCGATCAGATCCGACGGACAATATGTGACGTGGACAATGGACCAATAAGCGCGTGGCCAATACTAGATAAGATCGAAGTCAGATGTAACACATATCTAGGAAATGCCACGTGACCGTAATCCAACGATCGAGACACCTTTGTCACGTGAGTTGCTAACTAACGCCCATCATCTGTGAATTCGTCCTAGTTATTATTTGTGAATTGTGATTGCCCCATTTTCTTGTTCTTTTTTTCATTTTCTGAACAATATGATTGTTATACTCATTGTGCCTATAAGATATTCTTAATTTTTTTTTTAAAATCATATTGATTTCTAGGTGTGATATGAAATAAATTTCAAAAATTACAAAAGTACAAAAATTGATACAACTTAATTAAATCGTTTCAAACAAAATTAAGACGAGAAAATGATAATACAAAAAAGATTTCGTATTTATTTTTTTGTTTTTACCATTTGTATGTATTATGGTCTAAGATAATAAGATTACCTGAATAAGACTTTTAACCATTATCCAAATCGAAAATATCGGAAATTATAAAACATAAAAGTTTGAGATAATTTCATAGACAGTCCAATTTGTATGAAAACGTTATGGCTGAAATACTTGTGTGTATACACATTAAGTTCAATTATTTGCAATGTTTTTACCTTTAATATAAATTGAATATTGTCGGAACGTAATTAGGAATTTATGTTTGTATGGGTGACCCGTTGCTATACATAACTATAATAATGTGTAGTGTGCTGTCAACTATACTAGAAACATATGTTAAATTTCCCAAACTCGTCTACAACTTCAACCAGATTTTTGGCACCTTCAAACGATAAGGTCAATCAATGACTTTCATTAAGCTGCAATTGCAAAATCAAACCCAAAAAAATATTTTGTTGTGTTATTTAGGGAGACAATCCAAGTAACATTGCACATAATATTTTGTTATTTAATTTAAATTATAGAGCAAGTTAGCAAAAATTGACGAATGAAAAAAATTACGTAAACAAATCTGACTATCAAAAAAAAAAAAAAAAATTAACTCCAAAAGATAGAGACCGACATGACGAATCTAATGGTGGGTAACCTGTCAAATTCCGACCGCCAGAAAACAAGTTACCTCTCCAAGAAGAATCATTGTCGTCGAAATATATGTGCCCTGTAAAACAAAAACAAGAAAATATTCAAAGCTCCAAAACATAAGAAAATTACCATCATAAGAAAGAGCTCGGCGAGAGGAATCCCATGGTAGTTAAACCATCAAATTCTGGCCACCGGAGAGAAACTTATGGCTCCAAGAAGACCCGTCGTCATTGAAATAAGTGTGAACTGTAAAACTACTGCTGAAACAGATCGAGAGCTTCAAGCCGTACGGAATCACCATCAAAAGAAAGATCTAACGAGAGGAATCCAACGCTGGTTAAACCACCAAATTCCAACTACCGGAGAGAATATGACTCCAAGAAGCACCATCATCAGCCCATAACATATTTCGACGAACAATCGGATCTAGAAGTGGAAGAGAGTGAAAGTTGAACGTGGGTTGACTAGGGTTAAAACTAATTATGTAAGGTAATTTAGGGGCTTAAAGTGGCCGAGTAGGTATGTCAAATGAAAATAAAAGGTCAGGGGATATCAAATTATGTAGTACTAATATCCTTGATAGTTAATTCTATATATTTTCGAAATAAGAGAGTATCAAATTAGCTCGTATTATTTATTCAATACGTGCACTTGTTTGCTATATATATCCTAACATAAAATACTGAAATATCCTAGCAAAGTAAAATAAACAAATAAATAAATGTTCTAATAGCAATATAACTGTGTAATTTGAGACTTTTACCAAATTTTCAAATTTCCACTAGTATCAAATACTAATTCTACTAGTTGTTATATGAGAAAATTATTAAGACCCCGTTTAAAAAATATATGAAAGGAAAATCCTCTTCAAAAAATAATTAGAGAAAACTCATTTAGCTCATAATTCACAAAAATGTTATTTTTATATTTTCAATATTACCCTTATAAAGCCCAGACACATCCTGGTCCTAATTCCCAACATTATGCATTCTCTTTTCCATTCTCTTCACTCATAGAGACACCAGCGCCGGAGAGGACGATACCAACATTACCGCCACCGGAGGTAGAGGCGGAGGATTATGGGATGGTGTGGTGTTGCGACGGCGGGAGGAGGCAGATCTAGGATTTTCTGGACAGATCGGGGGAAGGAAGGCGCAAACGAAGAAAATTCGCGCAGGCTGGCCCCTTAATCGAATACGTTACTAGGGTTGTTTTTGTTAAACAACCCTATGTACAGTATTCGGTTAAGGTTAATCAATACGTTTTTTTTTATTCATTCTTTTAATCGATTTTGTGTTGGGTTTCATTTTATGGTTTTCGGGGTGTTTTTGTTACTTTTAGTAGTCAATTTCATTATTTAACAACGATTTTAGTAGTCGACTATGCCTTATATGATAGTCAATTAATACACCTGACAACGAATAGTACAAATCGAAGCATGGAACAGTCCAGCCGCCATAGCGCGTCGGAAGCACGGAAATCTCCCACAATTCAGATTGCATATATAATGGATGTTTCCACTAAATTGACGTCCATTATCCATCTCTATCATCATCAAAAGACCCACTTATCTTTACATTTTGGATATTTGTCTTCATGTTACTACCAAGTCCCATTTATCATTAATAATCAAAATCGGAATTACAACCATCTTAAAAATTTCAGCTGGGCTAACAATATTGTCCTTTAATAATAATTGAACAATATCAAAAAAAAAAAAAAAAGTTGTCAAAAAAATATCATATTTTTGGCCCTAATGAAATGATAAGGTATGGGACAAATTGTCCAGTATCGGATATGAGATGTACTGCAGCGCTTATTGTGAGACATATACTTTGGAGAAGAGCAGTGATAAATGATAATTGTACACGTATTTATTTGATATTTGAGATAATATTTTAATATTGATTAGAATTCATCTACTACAATCATGATTATCAAATTAATTATCAATTGTAAGTTTATGGGTGATTTTATTTGTAATTGTCACATGTCCACTTTTGATTGGATATTTAGATAGTTACACTTTTGATAACTCAATTTGCAGCAAGTATATTTACATTCCAAAAGTTGAATTATCAAAATAGAACCCTAATTTGATAACCCCATTGGATTTAAAATTTTCTAATTTTTGGTGTATAAATAGTGGTTAATGGTTTGAATACCATGTTTGATAACTCCATTGGAGTTACTCTAAGGGCCCTTTTGGTTGGGTGGGTTGGATAGATAGGTATGGATGAGATATGTAGTATTGGGATTAAACTGTTGATTCACAATACTGAGTATGTCTTTTGGTTGGTTGTATTGGGCTGAAACTAATAATCCCATGATGAACAACACTGTGTTTTGTATAGCTGATAAACCAGTTTAATGTGGGATTATTTGCAAAATGACTGTAATGCCCCTAAAATTAGCGTTGTGCGTTGGTTGGTTTGGTTAAAAACCAGTCATAAAACTAACCCAACTCATCCAACCAACTTTGGTAAATATTGGAAACCGTTATCGACCCACTTTACATGGATTGGGTGATGGTTGAAAACCAATTTAATGGGTCAGTTGATGGTTTGGTTGATGGGTCATCCATCTGAATACTTTTGAATTTTGTTTAATATTTTATTAGTTGTTACAACGCTATATCTTTTATAAATTAAATATGACTGGTTCAACAATATTCAAATAAAAAAATCAACACATTATGGGTCATATGTATTGCAATTAAACATAAATAGTTCAACAAATGATAGTCGTCCAAATATTTAGGCTATATGTCTTAAAATTAAAATAGTTCAAATTAGATAATTATGTTAAATTTATTGCTTTTAGGATTTTGGTCAATATTAGACAATTTAATAAATGTGATGTAAAATAGAAATTTGAAATTAAAAATATTAAATATCTTAAATAAAATTAATAAATAATAAATTAATAAATAAAGTTGGTTGGCCGATATTACCCGACCCTAACCAACTTTTTAGCATATTAGGAACTATTATCGACCCAACTATACATGGGTTGGTTGACATTATCGACCCAACTTAAATAGGTTGGTTGATGGTTGACAATCCATCATAAATTATGGGTAGAAAATGGGTTGGTTGGTGGTTAAAACCGATCCATGCACAACCCTACCTAAAATACAATATTTACCAGTTATACGCCTCTTTCATTTTTTCATTTCTCCGATATTTTTGTAGTAATTCAATATGATATACATGAGGGTATATTTGCACAAATTTGTGTTTGCGGAATTAGTTGAACTAATCAGAGTATTTTTTTTTTTCCGTTTAGATGTTCATGCATTTTTTGTGTAATTAATCGTGAGTTTGATGTGATAATTTGTATAATAATCAAATAGCTCAATACAATTTAATGGTGAGTTGAGTATTTATATGTAACAAGCATTTATCGCACGAAATATCATTTCAAATGAAAATAATGATTAGTTTAATACATGATAATAACAATTATAATAAAATTTATTAGTGATATCGTTAACAACATTAACATTTATACAAATTTAATAATACAAACTCATTAAAAAAAACTATAAAAACTTAATTGTCATAATATTTTGATCATTAAATAAATGAAGCAATTTTTTTTAGAGAAAATAGGAGATAAAATAATAACAATAATAATTTTAAAAAAATATAGATATAGTGGATTATGATTGTGCTTGCCGAGATTTAGTGTTAAAGTAATTAGAAAAAAAAAATGGCTGCAAAATAGGAGATAAAAAATATTATATATAAATATAAATTAATTTAGTTTTTTATAAATTTGTAATTTTTGAATGATGTAAGGGTATTTTCGAAAATTCACATGGGTGTAATGGTGGGATAATTGAAGGGATAAACAGTCAAGCCAAAATTGGCTTGATAACTAGTAAATCAAATGGGTGATCAAAACAGCGGGGCCAGATGTCAAGGATGGCAAAACATTTGAACCAAATATTGTACTATGGGGTACAACATATCCCATCATGCCTAATAATGCAAACCAAAAGTGCCCTAAGGGTATTTAGTCTAGGATACAAAAAGTCCGAAGGGGTGGGTCTAATTTATTTGGGGTAAATTACACCTACACCCCTGAGGTACGCTAAAATAACTTTAAGGTTCATGTGGTATCGGTAATCACAGTCACCTCTGAAACATAATTAGAAACTCTAATGGGATAGATAATACATTAGGGCCCCGTTTGGTTGCCAAGATTAGTCATGATTAATTAAATAGTTGGACTTAATTTGATGTTTGGTATCCTCAATAAATTTCTGGGTCGACCCGCCAAAATTATATAATCATGGCTTATCTTGCCTTATCTTGGGTTATTTTGCCTTCTAATGAGTTTTTTTTGTTGGACGTTTCAAGCTCCGATAAAATAATTGGGTCTCATTAGATTATCTAATCTTATCTTGGCTAATCTTATCTTGCCAACCAAACGGGGCCTAGATATGGTATTCTGATAGAGTTCTAAGGGACACTTTTAATAAGTGGTCGAGACAACATAAAACTAGGGGGTGACATGGCTCCCCCAACAATTCTTAAATCACCCATAGCTCTATGTCGTCTCCACCACTTCCTGAAACTAATAGTCCGTTAAAACTCTATCGGAATAAAGTATCTAATGCATTATCCCGTTAGAGTTTCTAATTATGTTTCAAGGGATGAGTGTAATTACCGATATCACAGGGAACACAAAATTATTTAAGCATGTCTCAGTGGATGGGTGTAATTTACCCTAATTTTATTTTGAGATTTATTTGGGTTTAGGGTAAACAGCATAAAACCCCCTGTGTTATGACAAAACTACACCATATTCCTCTGTGTTTGTTGTTTTTTTTTTTTTTTTATTACATAAAATCCTCCTGTATTTCAGTTTTTCTAGCATAAAATCATCATTTCCGTTAATAATTAACACCGTTAGGCTTTAACTATAGAGGAGATTTTATCCAAGTTTTTTGTAACATAGGGGGATTTTGTGCATGGTTTTGCAACACAAGGGGGGTCTATGCAAAATTAATTTATTCATCTAAAATTCAAATTATTTTCTTAAACTAAAACGAATGCTTTTCACATAGAATTAATCTAGAATAAATTATAAAAGTATATAATAAGATAATTATATATTTTAAGAAATCAAACTTTTTAAATACATAAATAAATTATATCATATAAAACTTAATTTTTTTTATAAAAAAACATTCACCACACCTATTAAATTTCTATTTTCCATATTGTAACTGAATAAGTGTGTTCGACTTAATTTAAGAAAATAATATGGAATTTAAACGAATAAACTAATTTTGCATAAAATCCCCATGTTGAAGAACTCATGCTCTAAATCCCCCTTTGTTATGAAAAAATTGCATAAAATCCCTTATTCAGTTAACAACATTAACTTTTAACGAAAGAGGGGATTTCGTGCAATTGGTACAGGTTTTCTTTAACACGGGTGTTTCATGTTGTTCACCCTTTGGGTTTAGTTAAAAAGCTCAATTTACAATTGTGACTCATATCTATTATGGTTTTGTTTGAAGTTTCAGGTACATTGACCAGAAACTCGTCATCATGTTACGGTTCAACGTAACCAAAGCCTAAAAATAACGACAATAATCCTTACTTTAGAAGGATACACTTAAAAGTCAGTCAGCGCCTTCCGGTGGATCAACTCCACCCTCAATATTCAAAAAACTGCAACACCTTTGTTCTGAGTAACAAAATTCGAAGACATGTACTAAAAAGGCAAAACTGTTCAAAAACATAATCAACCACTAACAATGAATATAATCAATCAACCAATCAATCAATCCTCATCCTCGGCCTCATTCTCGGCAATGTTGAAGTACCTCAACTCATAGATATTTCGGTCCTTGTTCGATGCTATCACCCTTAGCCAATCACGCACGTTATTCTTCTTCAGATATTTCTTCGTCAAGTACTTCAAGTACCTGAATAAGATAGTCGAAGATATGATGTCAATTAGTTAAGGGTACATAATACGAGACTAAATTAGTTGAACCAAACTCCCCTGCGTGAATAAAAGGTATGCAATTATGATGACCGATCGGGTAGTTTAATTTTTATTTTCTAAATACAAGTCATAGCTTTCTTCTTCTAAGACCAATAGCCTCCGCATAAAGTGGCATAAAGAGTTGGTTATAATTATAATGTTTTCCGGAATGACTTGCGAAAACTTCAAATTTCACTCCTTTTAGAATGAAAATCAAAACAATATCCCAATAGCTATTCATAAAAAAAATATTTCAAATTATTTGTAATTTTAGAAATCCAATGAAGCATATAGCACTTTTTCCAATTTTCCCATTCATCCTACTCAATTAATTGAAAGATAATTAGTAACAATGTATTTTACTGATTTTCTATGTTTTTTTATTGCTATAATCCATGCATTTTATTGATTTTCATAATCTGTGAGCAACAACCTAAAGTGACAAGTAACATGGAAAAAAAATCGAGAGGGCCCAAAACTATAGGAAAATTATCAAACTCTTTGTTTTTGTTAATACGCAATAAATTCAGGGACTTTATATGCAAATTCACAAAATCTAATTTCAATTTAACCAGGAAACGATACGGCGACGTATCAGAAAACGAAAAAAATGATTACATAGAGAGAAATGAATGAAACTTATCCAAAAACAATATGGAGGAAGAAATTAAGTTACCGCTTGGAGAAGGTGGTATCATTGGCGGTGACGGTAATCTTGGTCTTGTCGCGGGTGACGATAACAATGTCACCAAGCGCCCCGGGCTTTCCGGAGACCTTGATACGCTCCTGGAGGAATTTTTCCAGTGAGGCGATGTCCATGATCTTATCCTGGACCGGCTTGGCGCAGTCAATCACGTACGCTGCTGACATATTCTTCTTCTTCTTCCCTCCCTTCTGGGCCCCACCACTCACAACTCCTCCTCCTTTACTCATCTCTCTGCAACTGTGCAATTATACTTTTTCCACCACTAACTAAATATATATATATATATATATATATATATATATATATATATATATATATATATATATGCAACTGCGTATAGAAGAAAACAAATAGTAATCAATAATCATACATGTTGGTACAAGAACGACTACAGCTGCACAGCAGAAAGCGAGCTGACCTGTGTGGAGGGGGAAGAGAGCAGGCGGCGGACGGGAATGGAAAGGAAATGTAGGGGTTAGCGATTAGGGTTTTTTTTTATTGGCTGCTGCTGCTCTTCAATTGGGCCCATTTGTTTTTAGATTGGGCCGTTGCTTTTGCTGTAATTGTCATAAATTTTGTATACTCGACGGATTAAGTGTCCAACAAGAATTAAAACTAGTCATGTTTAATTACCGATTACGATGGAATTTTTTTTATTTCAAAATTCTTTCACTCTCGAACTCACTCAATACCATGTCGAGGAGGTCTAAGGGTAGACAGTAGATCTAGGTCCCTTACTTTTAGTTTTTCTGTTATTTTTTTGTATGGATTCGATACTTTTAGTTTTTTCTGTTTATTTTGAACTAGTACACTGTTATTTTCGGTTCGACTATTATTTATGTTTAAGTTGTTTTCTGTTCTTTAATATATTTTGTGTTGTTCTGTTATTTATGTAAGTTCCGAAAAATAATTAAAATACTACTAAAGAGTACACAACATAAAATACCTAAAGTTTCAAATAAATAACAACTCCGACCATAACAGTGTACACAACAGTTTCAAATACATAACAACTAAATAGTAGAAAACATCATAAAGTTAAAAAAACCTACCCAAATCTAGATAGTCGACGCCACATATATAGGCGTTCTTAACAACACCATGTGTGGTTAAGTTTATTAGCTCTAATAAGTCGCCAATGTGGAGTGATGGGTGGTAGTGGACAATTAACCGATAACTAGATAAGGACAAGAGGTTTCCTAACAACACCATATGGATCATATGAGACAATTCACCTGGACCCACTAGAGGTAAGTAAGTCGTACTACTGCCGACGGAGTATAGGACCAAAGCCGCATTGTATTTCGCGCGATCGACATTCCCATATCTGGAAATGACATCCATTTGTCCGGTCCACAAGGTCTTTCATGCCAATCACATCTTGCAATCCATCGGATGACTTCGTCTTGCCCATTTTGTGATGCGTACGTACCAAATCGCTCGTGCATATCAACAATTAAATCATTCCTCACACGACTCCATCTGTGTTGATCTCGGTACACTAGTTCTGCAACACATCTGTACCCACAATTTGTATCCGCGACAACATTAACATAAGACGCAATAGATCCTGCCACAAAACTTGGGATGTAAGATATGAAATTGAGCTCTTTGCCCGACTCTTTTCGAGCATTCGGAATACGATTCTGATTGGCAGTAAATTCATCACTTGATCTACCACTACCTCGACCGCGACCGCGAGCGGGATCGGTTACTTTTGATGGCGGGGTTCCGGTAGAAGTAGTTTTTTCTACCCTTAGAACCTCTAGACGATTTACCCTTTTCTTCATCAGTAAACGACTTCAACGGGAACGGTCGGTACTCCTAACCGGATTTCTCTCTCTTCGTCGGTTTATCCTTTGGTCGTTTCTTCGATTTAACATATGCAGACTCAGCCAAGTGAATTGTGTTAGGATTAATAGTGCTATTCATGTAATCAACAATCATTTTTTGAGTGTAATCCTTTTGTAACACTTTGGTGGCCAGTCTGATTATCCATCCGGTCTATCATATCCGCTTCGCGGTTTGGCTGTGCTTCGGGTATTTCCTGTTCTTCAACCTGCATGGTACTCCTGAATGCATGTAGCTCCGCAGATATAAATGTGTCACGTTGTTGTATTGTCAACGAAATTTGGCACGCACACGGAAGTCCATGAGTAACCCATAGAACGTGATCACAACTAGATGGATCTTCCACCCCTAGTTTATTGAGCTCTTCATCCAGCAAATTTAATGCCTTATGTGTGACCTTGCATATCAAACCCTGAAATACCGGATACGCTGCTTTATGCTTCTTGATTAAGCTGTATTTTAAAAACTTCCCCTTGATTACGGTAAGTTGACGCTCAACCCCCGAATCAAGCTGATATTGAACGGTGTTAGTAGCGTCGGTAGAAGCACTAATCCAACCCTTCGACAAATTGTGTGCAATTTCCACCATGTTGACATACATAAAAATGCAACTAATAACTAAAAACACCAACAACATATTATAAAATGCAGACCCGAAACCGAAAATACCTCTTAGTCGACGTGTTCCCAAAATGCAAAATCTTATTAGCCCATGCTTTGACGAATTTCTGTTTGTATATCAGCCAAGTATCGATAAGGTATTGATAAGTGTTCGTTTTGCACGATTTTTGCTTATCAAATCTTCTAGTTTTGGTCTTCGTTCGTCCGAGTTTCGGCTATATTTGTATATATTATTGCGTTTCTTGTTTTATTTATATTTTAAGGTTTTGCTAGCTATTTTTGCCGATTCGAGACGATTTTGAAAGCGAAGCCGAGAATCAAGCAAACAAGAGCACAAATTGCAATCAAGTGGATGGTGGCAGCGTTCGGTATTTTATGCATAACTTCTTCATACGACCTCCGATTGAGCTGATTAAAATGGATTTAGAAAGCCAACTGCAAGGGCTACAAATTTTGTGAAATGCAAAATTGTCAAATTCGGGCTACAAAAGGGTCAAAACAGAGTTTGAAGTTATTGCAGCGACCATATCGCGATATTACCTTCCATATCGCGATATGGGAGAAAACGAAACAGAGAGCTTGCAATTTTGCCATATCGCGCGATATGCCAGTCCATATCGCGATATGGGAGAAAACGAAACAGAGAGCTTGCATTTTTGCCATATCGCGCAATATGCCAGTCCATATCGCGATATGGGGAGAAACGAAACAGAGAGCTTGTAATTTTACCATATCGCCCGATATTGCTGCCCATATCGCGATATGGCCTCGGGATGTGTAAAAAATATCTAAAAAGGCAAAGCTTCCTCAAGAAGCTTTGCCTTACTATAAATAGAAGCAAGCCTCATTCTTCTGCTTCTTCTTCGACTTTTGACGGTTTTCGACGGTTCTTCGCGGGAAGCTTCGACGAGGGTTTCGACTCGGGTTTTTCATAAGCTTTTCTTTACGTTTAGTTTATAATTTCTCGTGTTCTTCATTTGGATGCTATGTTTGTAATGAACTGAGCATTTTCTTTTAGGGAAATGAAACCTTGTATATATTGATTTTGATTTCCAGATCTGTGATTTATTTGTCGTTCTTTGATTATATTTATGTTTTCCTGTATTAAATGCTTTCGATTGTTTGGCCAACAGTTGAATTGATTATAAATGGGGATGAACTCGAGAGAGGATTTCTCGTTTGATTTTAGGAAAACATAGCTCGGGTTGTGGAAACGGAGACGTGATGCACCTCGGGTAGCCCTTAAGGACTTGACCTAAATGCTCTCTTAATATCAGGTTCTGAACGGAGACGTCGGACCTGTGGGTAGACTCTAACTACACTGGAGACGGGGGTTAGGGTATTTTAGTGTCTGGGTTAGCGAACATAGAATTGACAATAGATTCGGATTTGTAGATCTTTATCGATAGTACATTGGTGGATTTTACCCTAGAAGCCATCACACGTCGGAATTCCTCACTTATACTGGCGGACCGTTGTTTTTATTTATTGTTTCTTTTTTGTTTCATTTTTCCCATCCCTTTCGATCGTCTAGATAAAGTTTAGGATAGTATAATTACGGTACTTGGTAGATTTAGGAACTTAATTCCCTGTGGATCGATATCCGGAATTCACTATTCTGCAAAACGCGATATTGTACGCTTGCGGTTATTTATATGTAGGTTTTACGCGTATCAAGGGTCCGCCATATCAGTTTGG